GGCTTTGGGGCACGTGAAGGATCCCAGGGGCTGCTGGCACCCACGATGGTGGCATCCGCCCGCCTTGGCGTGTGACGTGGCCCTCTGCGCCTAACACAGCTCCTCAGTGGACTTCTCGAGAAAGAGTAGGTGGTTTGAGCAGAGAACTTGTTTCTGGAGAATTGCCCTGAGTTGGGAGGTGACCTCTGGTGAGCTGTGGCGTGTGTGGTTGCCCCACTGCACTTGGATGTATGTTCTGCGAGGCCGGCTTGGCCAAGAGGAGGATCTCAAGATGGAACAGACATGGTTGGAAAGGTGGGGGACACTTGGAGAGCCACCTTGGCCCCAGCTGTCCTCTTTTTGTTTGCTTTCATGATGACCTTCCCTGCAGAGCCACCCACGTCCCTGAGCATTGTGTGTCCCACCGGGCCATGGGCTGCAGTTGAGGGTGACCTGCCTAGGAGCAACAGGAGCCTTCACTGAGCTCTGGAAAATGCTCCATAATGAACGATGCTACCCATGGAAAACACCTCCTTTAGGAAAGCAGGCATTGACTTCTCTGGACATTAGCTGAGAGTCGTCAGTAATGGAGTCTCAGGAGAGAAACTGGGAATATGTGAGATGGGATGTGAATGAGTGTTAGGGTGTCTGCCATCTTGCTCATGCTCCTTCTAAATGAGCTTCTGCCCAGCCTGTAGCATCCCAAGTAGTCCTTTTCTTCGAGGAGTTCTCTATACCCAAATAACACTAAAACGTGTTTGCAAGTGTTACAGCTGAGCTCGAGGTGTTGGTAACTTCAGGTAAAAGCATTTTAGGGATGTTGGTTACTGTCTATACCAAGGTAGTGATAGGGCTGTGCAGGCAGTGCTCCTTACAGGGACTCTTGGTGGCCATAATACATCGATGGTTAAGGCATTTAGCGTGTGAGTCGCAGTGAAAGGGAACTGGCTATCAAAGTCACTCCATTATTTTTCCGGAAAGTTCTTGCCTTTCCCTCCATGTGAGGCAGAGCATCAGCCTGGGCAGCGAGTTGGGTAGAAATCCAGAAATTGGGAATATTTTTCAACCTCTGTGGTGCATACTGACCCCAGTGCAGTATTTGTTCTCCTTCTATGCTACCCGAAGCATTTTTCCCACCTCTGAAAAGCACCAAAAAACAAACAGCAGCCGGTGGCTGGTGGGCGTGCAGGGGACAGGGCTGCATGGAGTACACGGTTGGGCTCCTGCTGCTGGCCGCCACAGCGCAGGGGTCATCCAAAACGGAATTTAGCTGTGCCCAACCTCAAAACTCAGGTGTTTGCCTAGAAACTACTGATGTAGCATTGGGTAACGCTGTCAGTTCCTTGTTAAATCCTTACGTTATGAAGGAGGGAGTAGGAGGTTGCTTGTAGAGTGGTGAAGGATGGGTGTATTTTTATACCCCCCTTGCTCTTTGGTCGCAGCCCAAGAGACCAACTCTCCAGGCAGGTTAGTTCTCTACTTGGGTCTCGCTGGCCAGCTTGGCGGGTTAGAGACAAACCAACTCTGATCAAAACTGTAGCATCACAGCCATGCAAAACTGCAGCATCACAACCCCAGCCATGGGGACGTCTAGACCTGGCGGTGAGGGACGTCCTGTCGCCTCTGAGAGGCTTTTACGGACTGAAGCTGAAAGCAGAAGCTGAAGGGACAGTGATGCCGGGCGGGCACACACTGCAAATTCTCCCCAGTCTTGACCTCGGTGGAAAGCGCATTAAGAAACAGAAAGCTACAGGTGGGCAGCTTGAAAGTGGTAAGAGCCCGGAGATATCATCAGAGGTTGAGCCCTTCAGTCTTCCGCTGCCTCCTGTGCTGCAGTTTGGGAAGGAAGGCAGCCGTTAAGAGCACCCAAGGGTCTGATCTGCCTCCCTGCCCGTGTGCGAAGGAGCCTGCTGTTCTGCAGTACTAGTGTTCTCTGAAATGACTGGGAAAACGAGAAAGAAGCTTGTGTGTTCCCCAGAGCTCTGTTTTCTCTCTGTAGAGGATTGTCTCAGTAACTGCTTCAGTATTTTTCAGTTTCTCACAGTAGTCATACAAGAGTCACAGTCATCTTTGTGAATGGGAAAGATTTTTGAGGTAGCATTTAGGATTTTTCCAGCTGCACTGCATCACTTCAGGGCTCTGAATTTACACTAGCTTGTGGAGAATCAGAAAGTGCAGCTGTGACCCCCTGCCCACCCCCTCAGACCAAAGACTGAGCAGCCTTGGCTGGGAAAATTGGGAACGTTACCTTTCCTATAGTGGAGACATTGTTAGACTCCTCTGTTAATTCACATTACGCTATTATATAACTAATTGTATATATAATTGCCTGAGATAATCGGCGCATTTCTCCAAAGTGATACTAGACAACTGTGTTTGTAAGTACAGGGGAATCAGCCTCTTGCAACTTGTCTACTAGAAGGATTGATTTGTTTTGTTGTTTGTTTTTATGCAGGGACATGGTGTTCCTTCGCCATGGTGCTCACTAGCAGCAGCCCTCTTTTGCACCTACTCGACAGAGGTCGTTTGGTTTTGACAATACTATCTGGCTGGAAGTGCTGCAGAAAGTTTGCTTGTTGAACCTTCACAACTACGACCCAGAATGTACTGGTGTGTGGGAACGGAGGGAGCCGCTGTTTGCAGAGCGAGCAACATGGATCCGCAAAATGGTAACTAGAACAACTTCTTCTCTTTCCTGGTTGAATGGGAGCTGAACTTTTTAAGGGATTTTTTTAGGTACCCAGTTTCTGCCGAATTTCGGCAAAATTTGAATATATGAAAAGTCTTTGAACGATCTGGTTGCTAATCTTTGAAAATCTATAAAATGTAACAAGCAATATCACTTGCAAGGAGAATGATGTTGAACTATTCAGGAGGTAATAATAGCACTCCTCTGAAGAACAATTTTCTCTGAAAGCTACAGATTTAGTCAGGGTATGCATCACATCTCCTCAGTTCCTTAATACGTTTTACAAGATCTGTAGTTTTTCAGCATGTGAATGCAAATATGTTCCCAGCCACTGAAGCAGTGAGTGTTCAGGGCATGAAAGCTGCTAAAATCAGAGCATCATTTCTCAGGCTGAACGGATGCTAACCTACTTCAGTTTTACTTTCAGCTTTGATTGAGTGACTTGCAGTGATTCTTTTTTATCATCAGTTGGGATTTGGATGTCTGCATTTATATAATGCTGCAAATCCGTAGGTGGAATTTTCTCTTTCAAAGGCATATATGCTTTAAGTTTGTTTTCTGTTTTTTTTTTTTTTTTTTTTCCCCCTGAAGAGCCAAATTATTTTTGGATGCTTGTTAGCACTGAAATCCTCCGCTCCGTGTGCTCCTAAATTTCCCTGAGCCAAAACCCAGTTGTGTCTCTGCATCAAGAACCAGCCTTCTGCTTGTTGTATAACGGTATCCCCCTTGCAACAAACAGTTCATTAGGAAGCAACATCTGCGTTTTACGTGTGGGCTGAAGGTGTGTTTGATGCTCTCTAGTGAGTAAGCAGGCTTCAGTGCAAGCTAATGTTTTTGCAGCCTTATTTTGGATTTTATCAGCAACTATGAAGCAAAATCTGTTATTTTATTCAGAGGCCTTCTCATCTTATTCAAAGACATTTCTCACCAGCGTCACAGGGAGCTCTGGGAACTCTTCCCCTTCTCCGTATGTATTCTGCTTATTCTGTGATACTGATCTTTTGGTTTTCACTTTTGATAATTAGCATTTTATATTTCGATAGTGGGCAGGAGCATTTGGTTATTACATATCTTTGAAATCATTACGTAATATCTCTAGAGTTTTTCTCTGGAAGAAATTATCTCTGCTTGAATATTAAGCTACAAACCGTGATAATAATCTTAACCTGCAGCAGTGATTAGGAAGTGTTAAGTGTAATAGTGATTTGACGAGTTTTTCTCACTGTTTAAAGATAGAGTAGATAAACAAATTAGTTCATGAATAAATAATTAAGAAGGAAAAAGGTATAAAAACATATTTTCTATGTAATGAGTTCAGTTTTTGTTCTGTGGACTTTCTTATGTTCTTCTGTTATGTAAATGTATTCAGTTAAACTGGAGGCGTACAAAACGTGTCGGTAAAATCTTCTGTATTTCCGTGTATGAGTTAGTTTTATATGATAAATAGTTTTGGAAGCCTGACAAAGTGTTCCGAGGAAAGCTTAAGATCCGTCCGCTCCTCTGTTGGATCCGCTCGTTATGAGCTTACTGTACATGTTGAAACTCATTTTGGTTTCTGGGTTGTTTGATTCCTGCCAGGAATACTTGTCCTTAAGCAGCTGCTCCGCTCCCAAAGTTCGGCGCTCCGCGCTCGGGTGCTGTTACACAACCGCGCGGCCGGAATGCAGTGACTCACTCGGCCGCTGCATCTGACTCTATTTACAGGCCCTTCTTGATGGTCTAGATGCAGCCTGTGCTTCCCTTCTGCAGTGCTGCAAGGATGTGCACCTGGCAGAGCATCCTGTTGGCATCTATCTCCCCTCCTCAAACCCTGCTTCCCCGCTCCCAGGTTCGTTCCTGGGATGGTAATTAACCAAAAGAAATCTCCTTCCATTTGTGAAGCTGGGGGAGGCTGCAGCCTCTCGTGGATCAGGGTTATTTTAAACCTGGTGAACGAGCTCTGCACAGTGGAGGGATCACAACACGTTTCTCGTAGGAAATAAAATAGAAGCCTGAAGATATCACAGTGTGAACGTCTAGGACTTGGAGAGTTATCTTCCTTCTAGCGGTTGGTTTGTTTCTTTGAATTTTACAAAATTTTACAGCTAGGAATTAATTCTTGTATGAGTTTCTAGGAGACAGGTCAGCAGAGATGTGGGAGAGGCATCACTGTCTCCGGACGTGCAAGAATACTTTTGTTACGGAGCTTCATCTCTCTCTCAATGAGAATTGTATTCAGAGCTCCACCGTGTTTGTGTGCCTGTCGCATGCGTCTCTGAGGGGGATTGGGCTCTTGTTCAGATGCACCAGAGGGTCTCTCTTCTCCTAAGTCTAGAAATGAGTATTGAAAAGCTGTGTTATATTGCAATGTAAGTATTAATGCATAATTAAGGGCAGTGGTACAAATAGTTCTTTGGGATTTTATCGCCGCTTTAGAGGTGTTATGTGAATGAACCTTCACAGCTTCTTTGAGGCCAGTGTGCTGTAAGCAAGCCACTCCAACAGGGAAGGACATGTACAGTGTGAATGGAAAAGGACATAGATGGTGAAACTGGAGAACAAATGAGTAGCCAGGATATAAAGACCTGCCTGGCATTTGGAGCAGACCAGAGGCTCATAAAGTTCTACTTCAGAAGTGCCATGGGGACTCTGCAGCTTACAGGCCTCTGTTTTCTGTGAAAGAAGCAGCCCATGAGAGTGGTGCCTGCCAGGCTGCTCTGCGGTGCAGGACGGGCCCGTCGCTGCCTGTGCCCCCGCTCCGAGAATCCCTGCAGGGCCAGCAGCACCGAGTCCTCCTTCCCTGCAACGAAAGGGTCCTTTTAAGCAGAGGCTGGGCCTGGGGATGGCTGCTGCTGCTTACAGAAAGTTTCATGAGTCGTAAGTGTCAACTAGCTCCTAGCAAGGGAGACACGTTGGAAACAGCCTCTTCTGGGGCACGGAGCTTGGCACATCCAGCATCGTGCCCGGCTTGCGTGGAGGTGCCACGCTGCAAACGGGGCCCAGGGCTCTGAGCAGAAGGCCCGAGACTTTCCCTGCCCTTGCTCTCTGTTTTGTGCTTTCCCGGGAACCCCAGGCTCTCAGTCTGGCTACGTGTGAAATCCACTGAAAAAATAAAAGTCTACAGGAAGAACCTGACTTCGTTATAGCAGTGAAGTCAACAGAGCCTGCCCATTGCTGGGGTGCACGTACCTAGTTTCCAGGTAGATCTTTGCTGTTGTTTCTTCCTACATCTACATGGTTGTTTTTGTTGCGTTAAATGCAAAGGGCAGGAATTTGCTTTTGCCACTGTGAATATTTTTGCTTATAAATCTTTTCTTTGCCAAAGAGAGGAGGAAGGGAAAATCAGTTTTGCAGCAGCACTGCTGCAAACCTCTGCTTCTCTTGAGTCTCATGTAAACCTTAAGATCTTTATATCAGCTGTGTGCATGGGCTGGGTCTTGGGGCACTTGGACTTAGTCCCAGTCATGGTACAATGCACCGTGCAACATGTGTAACTGTGTGGGTTGCCTGAGGTCCTGCGTAATCAGACTAAATGAACCTTAAAGGTTTCTCCTTTTCCTCCTGTTTGTTAATCTGGCAGTGAATTTGAGACCAAACAGTGGATTAGAACTATCCCTACAAGCAAAAAGAAAAACTATTAAAAAGTCAGCAAAAAAGAAAGGTATTTTAGATGAATTAGTCTTAGCTTATATATCCTCCAGAAAGAGAAGGAGGAAATGCTAGGCAGAAATAGGAAGTACACGAGCAGAGCAGTAATAGGCTTGTATTTTTAAACCTATTTAAATACCCCCTTTATAGAGAAGTGGTGAAATCTCACACGGAGCCAGACGCCAAGGCAGACGGGCAGTGGGCACCGGCGCACGTGTGGCTGAGGCTGCTCGGGGGCAGCCCCGTGGCAGGGCCACATGCTGCAGCATCTGGCAGAGCTGAGCCACGGCCTCCCAGAAGAGCAGGGAACGCTGCTGCGCGCCAAACGGGGCACCTAGCCTAGGAAATAGGGATTTTCCGCGTAGGGATAATATGCACTGTTATTCAGAACTACCCTTTGAAGATATTTTATGTTTCAGAATTCAGGCATCAGAAAATAACATTTGCTTTTGGAAACTGGGTCTTACGTGTGTGGGAGTGCTTGAGGAAGGGGTGTACGAGCAAGCTGACCTTGCTCACCTGCAGGACTGATGGGGCTCGGGGGAGCCAGGCCCCGCTGGAGTCACTGGGGTGTTGAGGGGCCCTTGGGTCCCAGCTATAAAGCTGGGTGGGAGCACAGAGCTAAGGGGACCTAGAGGCCGTGGGAAGCAGGACGGTGGCAAGGAGAGCAAGCAGCAACTTTCCGAGAGAAATCTAATCCCAGTTCTTCACTAGGAGCACTCCTCATTGGGCACGGAGTCAAACCTCAAACCGGGTGTGATTTACAGCCCATGATAAATCTTCAGTCTTTATCTGGGCTATACCTGGCTTTATCAGCCACTATTTGGCTTTATTTTTCATCCTAAGGGTTGAAATATTCGCTGTGTGTTACAGTAAAATGTAACTTGGGACCGCTGCTATCAAAAAGCCCTGAAAAACCAAAGATAAGGTGATAAGGGAAGCAAAGAAAATGCCTTGCACTTAGAAGTGAGCACAAAGACTCCTTGACTACCCTGTTGCGATTATGGAGCTGTTGTCAGCAGCGAGGGCTGTCGCTGGTCACAGCTGGAGCAGTGTCCTCAGCTTCAGTGGGAAGCAGCAATTGATGATGTTCACACAGACACAACCTTTGCTAGGCCTCTAATTGATTTATCATTTTGTCAGTGATGTTGCGGGTCATTTTATACTTGCATTAAGAAAAGTGCTATGAATTCATTTGTTTGTCCTCTCTGAAGCCTCCAGGGGCCTGATCCAAAACCCATTAAATTCTTTGCACTGGCATGACAGGCTTGGGGCCTGGTCTTTGGGGAGTGTTAGGACATTAAGTCTGTGGTTTGTTTGTTTTTCATTTCTCAAATCAATAAAGAGGCTGCCAGGGCTCTGCTTTGCAGCAGGCAGCGAGCTCGGAGGAAACGTTTGCGTTGCAGATGAGCGGTGGGGATGCGTTTTTATGCCATCTAGCTGTCAGCCTGCTATATAGGTGAAGCCTGTATCCCTAAATAGGTTCCATCTTGGGTTTACGTTACATTAGGCTGCTATTAATTCCGTTCCTGAAACAGAGTCTGTGCGTTCATTAACGGGGCAGCAATCTCTTGTTTGCGAGATCATGTGTAACCCTGTATATTTATATAGAGCACTCACACCAGAACTGAATCTGCTCTTTGAGTCCATGCGTCACTCTCACTTAAAGGGAGGACTGACTGTCTTTGAGTATGTAAAAATAACACTGTTGATTTAGTAACGTTTTGGGGATTATGCGACAGTTTTTGCAAAGAGCCAACCCAGGGTGATATAACCCGGGATGTTTCTATAGATTATGTGCTTTTTGCAGGACCATGTACCAGCAGGGAAGGAGTTAGTAGTCAGGACAGCCCTCCCCAGCACAGAGGGGACACAGGACAGCTTCCCTGCACAGGTAAAAGGGATGTGCAGCTCCGGACTGGCGGTTGGGTTAATCCTGTGCCACCCCGGGCGATGGGAAGGGGCTGGTCCTTGGCAGAGAGAGCCCTGGGAGCCAGGAGCAGGAGCTGGATGAGAGGCTTAACAGTCAGTACACAGCTTGCAAACGTGAGGGTTCACATCCCAGACACAGCTGGGGAGAACTCCGTCCCTGGCTGCCCACGGCGCCTTTGCTCTGCAGAACCGAAAATCACGGAAAAATAACGGACCAAAGCAGTGACTCAAGCAAGAAGCCTGGATAAATTTAGCTCAAATATTCTCGGTATGTTTGTGGTTGCTGTGGAAATTACATCACTGCTTGTTTTAATGATCAGAATATCACTTGGAAACTGCCTGGCTATCTCGAGAAGAGCTCAGAAGGAAAACTTTTTGAAGTATATATGGCTGGAATAACCTCTTCTG